TTATTCTGAGTTGCCCCACTCAAGCGGCGGCCATATTGAGTGGGGCACGTGAGATTAATAACGTGCTGGATTAGTGTGATCCTAGTTCATTTTATTACTTCATTGCTGTGCTGTATGTGTATAGGCCAATGCCTTGGCTGGCGCAGAAAGTTTCAAAAAAATTTTAAATCGATCAAAAAGATTAACGATTAATCGAGAAATTAATCGTTAATTTGCACAGCCCTAATATATATATAAATCTATATCTATCTATAATCTATTAGATATAGATATATATATACACACATATACACATACACACACACGGCCGAGCCAGACGGCTGTGTGAGAGTTGGCGATAATGAAAGGCCAAAAAGGTACTCCGAATGAGAACAGACCGAATTGTTTATGGTAAGCAAGTAGCAGACTGCATGTAAGCAGACAAGAGGTCCAGTATGGTCAATGAAGGAACCAGTTAAGCAGAGACTAAGTCTTACAATGGCCCCTAGGCCCTCCTTTTCAAGGTAATGGAGAGAATAACCAGACCGGAGATGCAAAATTGACTTTAGAATGCTCCAGCCAGACAGTGATTGGGTATCCACAGCAATCCCAAGTTTCCCATATGACCAATTCCTTAAAGAGGAACTCCAGGACTTAATCCTTGAAGTGCAGGGGTAGCCCCCCCTGCAATGGTTAATTTTTTTGACACCATGGAGTACCATAATAAATTAGCTGCTATGAAAAATAACATACCTGCATATGTTCAAAATGTGGTCCTTAGCACTTCCAAGTTCTGAGGTTACATTTCATTGCTAAAGAACTTCTTGCAATTGCGGTACAACGGAGAAAATAGTCAAGCAGTTGCCATTTGGCTGCACAAATCATGCAGTACTAAATCTATAACGTAATTTACAAAACAGACCTAAAAGATCAATGCTAACATTTTTGCTTACAAATTGCACATTGAATAAAAGGCACTACTATAATTAATATCCCCCTAGATTTCTTCCTGAGCCTATCACCAACATTGTAAATTAGTTTTTTAGCCGACATCTAACTAAAAGGGTTTCTAAACCCTCCAGTTTTTTTGCATAGCAAGCAGTAGATATATGCAAAAAGTAAAAAAAAAAAAAACGGTTTTAAAAGCGGTTTAAACTTACCTGCGTCTTTGCTGCGCGCTCCCGTCCAAAAACCCGAAACTGCTCGGGCGGCCGCAAAGCATCTTGGGGCGGGCAGGCGCAGTTCGGATTTTCAGCCGGGAGACGAGGAGAGAGACACAAGGTAAGTCTATAGACGCGTGCACCCGCAGGCAGCCACCGTTCGACAGGAAGTGCCAGCAAGGACAGGAGTCAGCGCTGGATCGGAGACCTGCAGCAGCACTGGAGAGAAGGCTGAAAAGGACAGAAAAGAAGAAGAGGAAGATCGGATTAAGGAGACATTGTTTAGGTAAGTGTTTTACTTAACATTGGGGGGAGGGAAAACATTTTTTTTTACTTTAATGTTAGTTTAAATCAAAAATCATTTTGATGGTGTTGTGTTGTGTGACAATCCCACGGTAGAACCGCGGGTTGTAGTCACCCAGGACTCTCATCCAGGGGGGCTGAGCAGTTCCAGGAAACAAATTATTTTGCTGGGAAAGAACTGGCTTTTCAGTTCTCTCCCTAGAAAACCTGGATTTGGCATGGGATCCTGGAACTGGGAGATTTCAAAGAGAATTGGGAGGGATGAAATCTCCATTCCTGGGTGTTTAATAGTGGCCAGCACCTAATTGCACACCTGTGCACAGCACTTATGGGAAGGGTGCTGGCTAGTGTTCTGGGCTCCAGCTGGGAAGAGGAACAGAGCTGTTTAGGAGTCAGGAGGACTCCACCCAGACGTCAGAGGGGAGCCAGGTGGCTGTGTGTGCTGGAGGCACCTCGAAGACAGCCGAGGAGACAGAGAGCCAGTGACACATGAGGGATGTGTTTAAGAGTGCCACGAGAGGTGGACTGTGGCTCTGTTAACAAATACCCTAATATCCAGGGACTGGGACACAAGGAGTATGTGCAACAACCTGGAGTGGTGAGATTGCCATACCTTCAGTTTTGCTGAAATACAAGCAGACCTTGTATTATCGTTGAAGCTTTGTTTTCTGTTGCTGAAATAAAAGACTGTCCTGTTTATGTTTAAAACGGCTTCAAGACTGTTCCTTAAGCGCTCACCATTTGTGCTAACCACCCCAACGTCACAATGGTTTCTCCTTCTCTCCTCTCCTTGCTAGAAAATCCAGATAACAGGCTACCCCCACACTTTAAGGGTTAAAGGCTAATTTTTGTCTATGTGCAAAAAAGAAATCAAAGTTATACTCAACCGAACCTCACAGCTGACCGCTTGCGACTGCGCCCCCTCCAGCCAGTCTCATCCTCCACAGCAGTGATGGTATGTTGCTAGGTGTCCTCAGATCATGTGTATAGAACATGATTACTTATGGACCTAGACCGCTGCAGTGGAGAGGGAGAGAGGCTTCAGGGAACAGTCTAAGAGCAAGCTGACTCCAAGGATCGGATGAGTACAACACTTTTTTTATTTGTAAACCTAGGCAAAAACGGTTTAAAAAGGAATCTTCCCCAGACTTCTTTCTTTACTTTAAAACAGAGTACAATTGTTAGCACCCAACAGTCAGTGTGGGATGAGATTAACATGGTTTGCGGCTTGGCAGGACATTCTGACTACAATCCAAGACTGAATTTTCAAAATAATCAGGTCTCAAAAGAAGTCAAATCACTCCCACCTCGTGGCTCTTCCAAGGCATAAAAAGTATGTAAAGTAGTAATTCATGCAGAATGCAGGAGCTGTTTGTCTTAGAATTATCAGCAAAGCCACATCTTAACTGCTGTATTGGTAATGAGTGACGTACAAGTAATAAATCATGGCACATACAGAAATATTTGTCATGGCTGAAATCTCTTTGCATAAACAGCAGCCATGACTAACAATGAGAAGAACAAAGGATTTTGGAAAGATTTTCCTTTTGATATTAAGTGAAACAAATCAATAAGACATGACAAATTACCAGTCACTAGCATACCTTTACAATTCCTTAAAGTGCCCACACACAAACTTTAAATTGTTAATAATCCAGGTGTACCCAGGAAAAAAGGAAGTTTTTTTGTTGTTTTATGAATCACTGTTGAATCTTCACTTTAAAATCGAGGAAAGAGGAATTTAACAGATGAATCGGAAGATTTGTTTTGTTTTTAAAAGGATCATAAAGTGTGGTACAATCAAGCAGATTTCATTCTTTGTACAGGAGTTTGTAGAATAAATAATTTATAGATAAGATTGCAATTTTGATGCTCCTTCTGATTATATTTCTGCCTGTAATTTAGATCAAGAAAAACATGGCAAAAAATTGTGTTGACTACTTAAGTCAGCATTTACTGTTGGTATTTATACAGAGCCAACAATTTACGCAGCGCTTTACATAGTTGCACATTCACATCAGTGAATATGACCAAAAATTCCACACGCATTTAAAAACAAAGGAAAGGAAATTGACGAGTATGTGTGCCCAGCAAAACTCCAGCTTCCTAACAAATGTTTTGGCTGTAATACTGGCAGCCATACTGGAATTTTTCATGTTTTCAGTTTTTCTCTTTTTTTTATTTTTATAACAAGCGCCCAAAAGTGCAGAAGTACAAATTTACTACAATGTACATCGACATTTGTGGAAAAAAACAAAAACAAAAAAAAAAACCCTGCACACTATATAGAATGTATTTATCCTCCAGTCGCACACAGTTATTCTTCCTGCCGGTTTGTATGTCACTACCACACAACAATTATGCAGATCAAGAGTAATAATTTCACAAGCTCCATGCTTATCTTGTGTCAGTGACTTCAAGTACTAAAGTCAGAGACCGACAAGCAACTAGAAGGTTGAGAAGATTCTCAGCAATGACAGCAACCATATTTTTGAGTAAAGTTTTGCTTTTTATTTTGACATGTACTGTAATTATATAATTCCATTTTCAGCCAGCAGAGGGTGCTCTGGGTTCCTTGTCCCATGTTTTCCAGACTAATCTTACCACCTTCACTGTAACCTTTTTTTTTTTTTTTAACAAAGCTCAAGAGTGACTTACCACCCTTTCTTGCTGTTCGCACATAGCTCTGTCCAAAGTGAAACCTAGATGGACGTGATCGAGAACCAGGGCTATTTGACAATTTGGGTGGGGAAAACCTCAGCACCTATGCACAAACTGGATGTACACATTTTAACACTAGGAAGCTACAAAAACATTCTACACTCAACCAAAACCAAATAAGGCAAATCTGGAAATTGGCTCTAAATGTACTAGACTTTTAAATAGTATAATACAAAGAGATGCATTTTGCACAGCAAATTCGGAAATTCAGGAAAAATATAAAAATAAACGGCTTTCAATTTTTCAATTGTTATTTGACCACTGTATACAATTCTTTTTTGTGTGTTCTACACACAGTACAACTCCTTTTGTCTAAAGAGTAAGACACCATTTTCTGCTACTACCCCAACACCATTATGTGACAAGATCTGAATCTTGCATGTCTTTCCACAAGGCCAACATAAGCAATATCTGAGCCAGCATTAGCCATCTCCTATCACCATACAGACAGGGCTAAGGACATTGCTCCCTTACCTGCTCTCTTAGCTTCACTGCAGGCAAAACCCATTTCTTCTTTGAGCTCTAGATTTTCATTAGCTATGGTTTCTCCAACAGTCACAAACCTCGCTACAGCCTGGTTCACAGCCTGGCCAACACGTTGAATTGCCTGCAATGTCTTCTCGGATTTCTTTGGTTTTTCTTTGTGGTTTATCAGTGTCGTTATCTAGAAAAAAAGTAAAAGAAAAGAAAAGGTGAATATCAAAAAGTACAATATATTATATACACACACACACACTCACAGTCACACAGTCTTTTTCAGGCACACATTCAGATAAAATTTATCGCAAAATGCTTGAATCTATTACAGACTGGCTTCTTCATAAAGACTCTCTGATTATGAAGCTCTACCATTTTACCCTCCAAATTACCTTGTCCTAAACTAATCCTTAATTGTATCCCCAAATTCTCTTCTTGCCACTAGCAAGTTCTTAAACAAACCTTTGGTTAGTTATCTTGTCCAAAAGTAATCCTTAGTCTAAGCACTTAAGTTTCATTTTGATCCTCTGTGAATCACCACAGCAAACAAACCACCAAAAAATAAACACTGCAATACAGCCTCAGCCAAAGGCATACACTATTCAAAATGCTTTATTTGCAGTTGGTTGGTGGAAATCCCCAAAAATATTGGAGGGGCACAGGTGGTTCACATTTCATCAATGAGGGTTGCATAAAAATTGTATTCAAGGTAGGTCATAAAAAACTTCTAAGCCTAGGCATACAATGAGATTATGCTAAAGTAAAGCACAATTCTTCCCCTGCAAGAAACAGCATCAGCAACAGAATTTCTAAAAACAGAAGTTACAAACATATTTGTGAATATCATGGTGCAAGATCTGTCAGTCATAAACCAATACCTGGCTGAATGCATTGTAGAAGTCCTGAACCATGATATTTATAAAGAAAACATATTTTGTAAATTGTCTGAAGCTTGCATAAAAAGTAAATATGTTGAGCAGAGAAGAAAAAAAAGACAGCAATGTGTTCTGGTGTTATATGAAGAAAACATTTATGCTATCTGCTTTTTTGCACATGCTCCCTCCCAGCAAATTCTAAGCTAAGCCAGGAAGAATGCACATAAGGGGGTGCTAGAAATACTTTTTTTTTTTTTTTTTAAAGTGACACTAAAATTAGGTGTTAAAACCTTAAAATGCATTCAATGTACATTAAAACTATTAAAAATGCAGCTTATTTGTGCATCACTGAGCTGAATATCCTCATCTCTGAATTGGTGCCAGCACTGTCCTTCCTTCTGGAGGGTGGCTACTTTTGTTCTCCATGATGTGTGTTGTAAAGTAGCCACTGTTCCAAAATTACTCCCATGATGGACTACAATCTCGCTAAAAATTAGTAAACTAAACGTGAGCTTGTAGTCTATCATGGGAGCGAGGTTGGAGTGGTGACTACTTTACAACACAAACAGGGACCATGGGTAACAAAAGTAGCCACCCTCCAGTAGGAAGGACAGTGTCGGCACCAATTCAGAGATGATTTGAGGATCCACAGCTGAGTGATACACAAATAAGATGCATTTTTGTTAATAGTTAACATACTTGAATACATTTTAAAGATTCAATTCCTGAGTTTAGTGTCACTAAACAAATCTGTATGCACACAAGTCTATGGATGGCGTGCACTCGCATGCAGACACTGCGGGACAGGAAGTGCCAGCAAGCACAGAGGAGTCAGCGCTGGATCAGAGACCCGCAGCAGCGTTTGTAGAGAAGGCTGAAAAGGACAGGAAAGAAGATCGGTTTAAGAGACATCATTTAAAAGGTAAGTGCTTACAATAACGTGGGGGCGGGGATTTTTTTAATCCTTTAATGTCACTTTAAAGCCACACTGACATTCGTACATGCCCGATGTTCCATATTTACATAAATTGTACTAAATACACATATGTAGCTTAACCTAAAATGAAAGATTTGTACTTTACAACAGTCCCCTCTGATCAGCAAATGAGGACACAAGATATTTTTGATAAAACAAAAAACATTTATGGCCTTCTTTATGGATTAAAAGCCAAGTCAAGATTTAATAGCTGTAAAGAAAATCCATCTCCAGGGGCGATTTCCCATCGCATCCATCCTGGTAATAGGGGTTCAGAGGTGCATGAAGTGATTAAAAAAAAAAAAAAAATCTCTCAATTTTCTGAGAAGAGACACCTTCCAGCACAATGTATTTAGGCAATGGACACACTCCTGACATAACCAAGGTCAGGTGGACCATTAAGAATATATATGTCAAAAATGATTGGTAAAACCTATAATTGTTTTGTGTTCACCATTACTTTTTCTTTATACTGCCTTTTCAAAATATCACATAAAATTGAGATAAGATAAAGGTGTTGTGATCTTTGGTAGTTAAATAAAAAATGTTTAGAGATATCTGTAAAAAAACAGACCATAAAGAAGGGCAACTGAGGAAAAAAGACAGAGGAACTTGGGTTCCAAATAGGGGACAGTTGGGAGGTATGGGAAATCTATCCATGAGCCACAGTAAAAAAAAATTCCCAAATAGAAAAGGGTAAGGCCCCATTCACACTGAGCGACATGAAAATCGCGCAATTTTGAGCGATATTGCGCGACGAGCGATATTGCGCGACTTTTCCTATTGGGCTGTATGCAATCAGGAGCAATATCGCTCGAAAAAAGGGTCATGTAGGAGCGACAAGCTACCAGCGACGAGCTACAAGCGATATTGAGTGATATTGAGCGACAAAGATGTGAACAGCTCCATTGAAATGGATTGGAGAAGCTACATAGAGCGATATAGCGTGGAAATATGAGCGATATCGCTGCAAAAATCGCTCAGTGTGAACGAGGCCTAAAGGTTTAAACTTCAGTGAAATTTGAATTGATGTCTGTGCCTTTTGGCACTGTTACTATTGCCCTTATTCCCAGAAATAAAATAAATAGGTGAGGGAAAAATCCTCCACTGTGGTCACAGAACACTTTCCAAATAATTAAAAGAAAAAAAAAAAAAGGGTTTGGCAAGGGTCAGGATTTAAACATTCATTTTAATCTGATTAATAAAAAACCACTGTATAAAACTTTATTCGACTACATATGTGCACTTCTGTATTTTATCCAGAATCAGGGACTGTCTTCTAGCAATTATAGGAAGGTACTATGGTTTCATGCTTCATTAGAAGTTAGAGGCAATAAAACCTCAACAAAATACGGATCTAAACAAGCTTCCTCTGGAAGACAAAGACTCAGATTAAGGAGCCAACTCTTTCCATCTGACATATATTGCTGTATTTGTAATTGCAGAGTTGAAGCACAGAACATCTATCAGTCCCTTTTATACTTAAGCCTAATCAGCCATTGTGCAGCTAGAAGACAGGAGCAATCATTCCTACTTTCATTGCTAGCAGCTTTGCAAATTTTATTTCTTGATTCACAACACTCTGCGGGGATTCTGGCAAATGCAAAGCTGGAACGCCACTGCTTAGAGTGGTACATGTGACAGTATTAAAAAGGAGAATTATGAGGCGAGTGCTTTTCACTCACCTCATAGTTCTAGCCGACCTGTGACAATGAGACTGACACAGGTCGGCTTAGTAGATCGGGAGGTGAGCGAACACATAACGGCGTTCGCTCACCTCTCGATCCTGTCACGGCTCTCTGCCGTGATAGGGGAGGGGTTGGATCCCCCGCTCCGATTTGCCAGCGCTGACTGGCGGAACGGACAGGGAGGGGGCGGGTACAGCTGGCTCTGCTTCTAGATAGGCAGAGCCAGCTGTCAGTCACGCAGCTGGGCAGATCCAGACATAATTGCGGCGTCTCAGTATACTGCGAGCCACTGCGCCTAGGGTGACGGGAGGACACTAGTTTGTGTCCTCCCGTTACCCTAAGGAGAACTATGGGGAAAAGCCTTAACCCAATAGTTCTCCTTTAAATATGGGTCAAAGTCTGTAAGGGTGCAATCAAAGAGGTGACAAGGTATGGCAGATTTTCTCACTGTAATCAGTATACATATGGTCCAGATGCTTAAAGATTGTAAAGGTGTTCAAAACTTTATATATGGTATATAGAATTACAGATATATTACATTACATACATATATATTACCAGATAGAAGTTAGCTTTAACAGAGTAGAAAATCTGAGAATTGTGCCTGTGGCAGTATTCAGAATATCACTTAACAGACTAAGAAGACCCCAGGACCCTAAAAGGTGAGAGGAAAACTAGAAGGAAGGTTAGCTATAAGTTACAGATAAATGTTATGAATGGAATATAGCCGATGACAGCTTTTATTGATGGCACATTGTACATGTCTAGACAGAATTTTCATGTGCTCAAATCACTAAATACACAATTAAAATCCATTTTATTTTTAGTGTTATACCTGCTGAGACATTTGTAATTCTGTACAGCCAATCTTGTCATTTACACACTTCATTAATTTTATCCCAGGTGAGATCCAGGAATTTTATCTTGAAAGAACAGCATGAGTGAAGTGTAAAATGTGAATTTACACTTACCTCTGTTCTGTCCTTTGAGATCCAGCTCTCCTAAAACTGTGCCTGGAGTGCAGTGATGCCCTCAAGGTTTTTTAATGGAATTAGTAATTTCAATAGAAGTCTACGAGGCTGCCATTGCATTTTTTTAATAGAAATTCTAATGTAGAATGAGAGACATTGAGGCTATATTCACACCATGTCTGGACAAGATCTGGAGCAGATGTGCAAACGCAGTGCAATGAATTTTTTCCACGATTTTGTCACGTCGGGTGCTGGGTTTTTTCTTTTTTAGCTTTAAATGTGCTTTTGTGTGCAGTCCAGTTGCATGCATTTTTGTTGCGTTTCCACGAGTTCCAGTGCAGACCAGAGAAAAATGAGACCAGACTGCGATGGAACGGACTGCGCTGGTGTGAACAGAGCCCATAGGAAATACCATAGGAAAACATTGAGATGCTTTTTTGGTCCGGGAACAAAGTGTTCTGGTCTGGACATAATCCGGACATAGTGTGAACAAACACTCATAGTCAGTCAGACTGTCTGACTTTAGACCCCTTGATATATATTCCAAGTAGTTTCCTAACATTCCCAGCTATTTGTATAAATTAAGGAACGAGACAACAGGGTTTGATGAAGGAAGGAGGACATTCTTCTAAACAGTGAAACTCGTGGTATTTATGTCTGTACTAGAGATGCCTAAA